TTTTCAATTGATTGCTGGCTTTCAAACTATTAAAACTTAACTTTTGGTGAGGCATTTCTTGCTTCTTTTGGTGTAAATTGCAAAGCTTAACCCCACATATCTACTTACCCACATTAATAGAGAAATGCAGGTATGTCAATTTCTAACAAGACATATGCAGGTGTCTTTAATAAAGCCTAGAATATACAAAATTAACAAATACTGCCAATCACTACAAGCACAGCAGGAAAATACTGAAAAAATCCTAAAGCAATTTTAAAATTCCACACTAAATAAATATAGCAACTGATACTATTTTAAAAAATAAAAATGTTATTCTTAGAACCCTGTTCAACTAGATATATTATGAAAAAAAGGACTCCATGGTCGAAGTCTTGAAAGTGTTACACATTATATCCCAACTTTGTTTGGCTATGGAAGCCTTTGTGTGTAACATCTTTTAAGAAGATAATTTATGAGGGTTTTACAGATTAGTAAACTTTATTTCAATTATGTTCTTCATAGTTTATTAGCTTAAATAGTGCTAAATCAATGTTTATGCTTGGAATTATAGCATAAATAAGTAACAAAAAGAGATTTGTTATAGAAAAGGTATTACTGGGTGGATTGTAAGCATATCATATTCTGCAGTTAGTCTGAGAATAGCTTAGTCAAGGTTATGTCCCATAAATCTAATTACCCCTTTCCACATAGTAGCAGAAATAGAAATAGTTGACTCTTGAACAATATGGGGTTAGGGGTGCCAACCACCCACACAGTAAAAAATCCTCATATAACTTTTGACTCCCCCAGAACTTTGCCACAGTTGTCCCTCAGTATCCATGGGTGACAGGATCCTGGACCTCCTGCCCCAAATTAATGGATGCTCAAGTCCCTTATCTAAATAAAATGACATAGAACAATGCATGTAATCATCCCTCCACATCCGCGGATTCCCAACCTGGTGATATGGAGGGCTGACTGGGTATTTATTGAAAAACAAAACAACATATAAGTGGCCCTGCCCCATGCAGTTCAAACCCATGTTGTCAAGGGTCATCTATATTTTCAAAATCACTTCAAAATGAAATGAGGATTCAATCTATTTTAATAATGGCAACATGATTATTTACAAGTCAAGAGCCTTCTGATATATGGCTCTCAGTTTTGCCCATCTCTAATCATTATTCTTCAGATTATCTTCTAAAAGGCACATTGATGGTGATATTCCTACTTAAAAACCTTTCTATAGCTCCGAAATGCTTCAAAGTAGAAAATTCTAAATTCTTAATGTTGCACACATGGTTCTAATCTACCTTTCCTAATTCTTCTGTCACTTCCACACCTGCTCTAGCTATACAAAGTAGTTATTATTCATAGATTGCTGTTTCATGCTTCCTTGCCTCTGGAATTGTCTTCCTCTTTCTTTTCTCCATTTGTTAAATTACTACTCATCTTTCAACACCCAACTCAAATGACTTTTCACTTGTCAATAATAAAACGTACTTCTTATAAATGCAGTTCACTCGGCATTTCAGAAAAGCCACTATTGTATTTAAAGTAGAAATTTTTAAAAATTTATGAATACATGAACATCAGTGACTTTGATTAGAGTCAGTCTATTTTTAATGGATATCCTTAAAACTAACTTCTATCTCTTTTAGATTCAATTTTCCATAGATGCTTACTGGATATCAAATATGTCCCAGAGACAGTCTTATTCTTAAGACTGGGCCTAAAGTCTTTTCTACAGCTAAATGCATATGCATTAGGATGTTCAATGGGGTTTTTCCTCTTGTTCCAAAACTGTGAATAAAGCCCAAATTAAATACCCCTTATTCTAACTTCAATGAGCCAATAGTAGTTGGTACTGGCCTCTTCTCTTAGGGCTTACTGAGAGGCATCGATTTATTGAACCAGCCCTATCGTCAATATTGCAACACCTTCCCTTGGTGTGAATCTAAAAAGGCCGAAAAGAGGGGTTTATTGGACTTTGAGGGAAACACAGAGTTTATGAAAAAAGGATATTCCATCCCCTCTTTGGAGAAAAAAGTAGTTGTATGTGAATCCATTGTGTAAGTTAGAATCAAAGTTTGAGGTCATCTAAAAGAAAGGCACACTAGTATTTCATCCCGTTTGGTTACCTATATAGGCAAAAGATTTACTGATTTGCTTCCCTGTTATATGCACAGGAGAAAAGAGAAATGGAGAGAGAGAGTGTGGTCGGTAAGTGTCAGGTAGAGAGGTAGGCAAAACTATTGCCCACCTGAGTTGTTGGTTCCCAAGAGGTATAAAAAAAATGTAACCTCTACCCCAATGTACAATAAGAGGTAGATTTGATTGGATAAAGTCTTGCAAAACAAATACATATCAGAGTCACTAGGTGTGAATGCCATCAGTCAGGTTAGCTAGAAGATGTGACAAAATCTTGCATGGGATGACATCAATGCTTATGGAAATGGGATAGGATCGAGCTCACTGTCATCAGGGTAAACTCGAGCTGTCACTCATCTTCATTTAGCCTGTTGACAAAGAGCTGGAAATTACTGTGGAACAACCAAGAAAGAGAAGTGCCACCTCAACACTGGGATATGCAGAATTCTGCCTCCCTATCACTCCTCCCAGCTTCAACACCAGAGGAAGAAAAAGCACAAGAAAAAGAGAGGGCAGAAGTGTGTGACAAAAAAAAAAGGAAACAAACCCCTACTTATCTACCCCCAAAGTTTTCAACCCCAGATTAAAATCAGTTTGTCCTTGGATAAAGTTATAAGAGTACTACATCAAGCCCGTGACTGAAGCTGTATGAAGAGAACTAAGTCTTAAATACTGAAATAAGACTACAGCATTTGAGTACTATGGAATAGTGACAAGATGTTGTTAAGGTAGTCAATATCCAGTAGGAAAAGAGTTTGGCATGGTAGAGTTAGAGGACAGTTACTAGATAAAAAGCAAAACTGATTTGTATTTATTTGCCAGCAAGTTGAGATCCTCAAAGAACTGGTTACACATAGATGGATAGTCTCTGAAATTAGTTTCCCTATATACTGGTGTTCTCAAATTTCCATTTCTATTTTGTATAATTAATAAAATCCTGATGTAAGTTCTATTATACTGTGATATTTAAGGCCATCAATTTGCACACTACTATTGCTGCTCAGTCTAAAAAATGCTAATTGGATAAGAGCCATACTTTTATACCTGGGAAGACACCATTGAAGTCACAGATATGAATGGACATATAAGCATTACTAATAATGGATGTTGGAAGTAGCAACAGATATTTCAAGTAATAAAGTGAAGGAGACTAATGAGAACACAGCTCAGAAAACAGAAATTAATTTGATAACTCAATGCTTTCAACATTCACCTTTTAATGATCCAACCAAAGAAGAAACCACAAAGAGGCTTATCTGACAAAGAGGAAAAATGTGTATATTGTAAATGGAGATTATTCAGCTGCATGATACAGAGGAAGGAAAATGAAGGTTCTAAAGAAAGAGAGTAAGAGAAAAGCAAGTGAAGGCTGATCAGGAAGTGGGGCCTTACCTGGGGCTGCACACTGAGGATGGACAAGCATGAATGACAGACAGAGTAGAACAACTCTTGGATGGATGAGAGACAATAATGTAAAGTGGCTATGACACATTGCAATATTAATACATACCGAGACTGAACTGCGGGTAATGCTCATAAATCTAACTGCAATTAGTACAGGTTTCTGGATTAGGAAGGACATGAAAAGGAAAGCAGAAGGTTAGAATGTACATGTTATTGTCCCATTAAAAGAGAAGGTTTAATCTTTCAGTGGACTTATTCTGCAGCATCAGCAAAAAAACACAGCTAGCCTATCTGCTTTGAAGAGTAGCTTTTTAGTAAAAGGTCTCTTCCCTTCCTGCCTGGATGAGCTAAAATGAGCCTCTCAGAACTGAGTTCCTGAAAATTCATACTACAGAAAGGGTTTCACTTTTAAATGGGGTTTCTTTTTTCAATTTCTGGGGAAAAGATTTAGATAGTGTCCTGTGATGGGCTTTACTGCTTGGAAAAAGTCTATCTTTATGTTTGTTTTTAGAAAAGACCCTCTTCTAATCTAATCAATAGACATTTGTTGAGTACTTGCTCTGTGCCAGGCAGTTTTAGTATTGAAGGAAGAACAGAGTTATTTTAATATTAATCTAACTATAAACCATGAAGATGGAGGAAGTATTGCTGGGCCACTGGAAAAACACAGGTATGATGATGGGGAAGCCTGCTTCTTTTTAGAGATTTACTGGAGATCTGAGTGGGTGTTCATCACTACAATTTTGTTTTACAATTGAGGGGAAGGGTAGAAAATGTGCAATAATTAAACTTTAATTCAAAGTAGTTTTCCAGTTACCCAGAACCTATTGATTATTGGTCAGTGAGAACTGGAATTATCTATATATTCTAGTTACTAGAAGGTCATTGGTTACAAAGAAAAATAGTAAACAGAAAAGTAGCCAAATGGAAGAAATAAAATATCATTTTTGCAAGACTTTTCTCAAAACACAACAATAAACCCTTGAAGAATCTCTATTTGATAATGGTAGACTCATAGATGAAATTCTAATTCCTTATAAATCATATTTTTCAATTGGTTAAGTTCTCTACATCCCAGGAGTATTGGCAGGACCACCAAAAATGATATGGCTGAGGGTAGAAACAGATGGTGGAAGGAAGTAGAGAAGAAAGTTAAGATAGGTTAAGTTTTCATAGAAAGGACAGGAAAAGAAAATAGGGCAGATTATTAAACCTCCAACATTTTATTCAAATACCTGATTTTTAAAATCCTACATATTTAACTGCATATATATTCTGTACATACAAATAAAGAGAGCTAAAAGATCAAACATGAGGCATTCATAGTACCCTGAGATTTGATGATTTTTTTTACTTGTTTCATGTGAAAAAGACTCAGAGAATAATCTCTCTCCACCATAAATGCACACTTAAAATCCCAGGAAGGCTCTCATTTCCCCGTGATTTCACATCGTGCATCTTACCATTGATCTACGAATCAGTGACAACCTGGTCTTTGCCTTATTCTCAGCAAATTCCAGGCTACTGATGTCTTTGAGACGAGCCTTATATTTATTCATTTGTTCCACAACAATCAGCTCCACACAACTGAAATGGGAGGAAAGAGAGAAAACTGTTAAGGGCTAAAGTAAATCAAATAAAATATAGCACCCACAGACTGTCTTTCAGCTAAGTGTGGTAGATGTCAGAGGGAGAAAGAAAAATCAACATCCCTTATTTTATGAGCTGATAGGGTTTAGAATGGTGGTTCAGAACTTTGGCTGCACTTCAGTACCCATCTGAGGAGTGGTTATAAGTCCCAAAGCCCAGGCCATACCCCAGAACAATTAAATCAGACTAGATTGTGGGGATAGGACACAAACACCAGTATTTTTTAAAACCTCCTTGGGCAGATAAGTTAAGAGCCACTAATCCTGAAGGAAAGCAGAGGCTCACAAAGAAAAAGACCAAGGTGAAATACAGGAATACTAAAGGCAAAGGGATTCAGAACCATAAGACCAGACTAGATTACAAAAAGATACAAAGTATATATAATTTGGTAAATTGGAATTTTAAAATATATTTAGAAACCATAGCATTCCTAAATAAAAGCCACATTTTATTTTTTTAAAAAGGTTGACACCTGCCCGGCTGTTGTGGCTCAGTGGTTGAGCATCGACCTGTGAACCAGGAGGTCACAGTTCAATTCTAGGTCAGGGCACATGCCTGGGTTGCGGGCTCAATCTTTGGTAGGGGTAGTGGAGGAGGTGGCTGATGGATGATTATCTCTCATTATTGATGTTTCTATCTCTCTCTCTCCCTTCCTCTCTGAAATCAATAAAAATACATTTTTTAAAAAGTTCAAAAAGGTTGACACTTTGCTTCAATCATTTTGTTATTTTTATTGATTTGAGAGAAAGAAAGATAGAGAGATCGATTTGTTCCACTTATTTATGTATTCATTATGTATTCCTGACTGGGGATAGAATCCACAACCTTGGCATATTGGAATGATGCTCTAACCAACTGAACAAGAAAAGCCAAATTTTAAAAATAAGAATCAAAACAAATGATGCTCACTTGAACTGACTCTAAAGAACTTTAGCATTAAAAAATCCAAGGTGTCCAGAAATCTTTTTTTTTAAATATATTTTTATTTATTTCAGAAAGGAAGGGCTTGGGAGAGAGAGATAGAAACATCAATGATGAGAAAGAACCATTGACTGGCTGTCTCCTGCATGCCCCCTACTGGGGATCGAGCCTGAAACCCAGGCATGGGCCCTTGATAGGAATCGAACCCGGGACCCTTCAGTTCGCAAGCCAATGCTCTATCCACTGAGCAAACCAGCTAGGGCCAGAAATCTTTTAAAAATAATCTAAGCTCATAAAATAATTTACTATGTTTGATATCTGGATAAAGTGACTACACTGAAGAGGTGATGGTGACTGGCCTTACGTGGTAGTCTTACTGATGTCCTGCACGCTTTGTAGTGGGTCAATGGTATCAGGGCAGCGTAGAATGCAGGGTGCAAACACAATGGCTAAAGCATTAGCAGACATTCGATTAGTGTTTTCCTGCAGAGCAATCCTAAAAAAAAAAAAAAGAAAGACCCCAAGTGAAACAAAGAGAAAATAGTAGGGAGGTAGGCAGAAGAGATGAGAAAGAAGACGTATGCCATCAAATGCATAGTATTGAAGGATATTCATAACAGTTGAAGGGAGATACTGTAGGCTTTTCTGAAAGCTGTTCCTTTGCCTCTGGAAAACACACTTTTACTCTGTCCCTTCTTTGAAGCAATGTAGTAGGCCAGCAGATAGCTTATCAAGGGAAATCTATGGCCCATGGCTCAAGGTTACCATTACTAGATGAACATGTCTGAAGAATGTAGAGTAGAAACTTTAAGGCATTTTCAGATAGTCTTATTTATCTAAAAAGAAAGATGGTGTTTTTTCCAAGTACTGCTGATATTTACACTCAGAGGAAGAGAACTACTCCTGAAGTCTCTTTGGTCAGTCCATTCCTAAGCACCATCTGAACCTACCTTCTATGAATCAGGTTATGTCAACAGATAGACAAACTTTCTAGTTCAGGATTTAAATAATAGGTCAGGCTACACAGTGCCACCCTGAGGCTAACGTTGTTACTTGACTCAGCAGAGAAGCACCTGACAGATTGTCCAACTAGTCTGAGAATTTCTGCTCCAAGGAATTGTTAATTATCTCTTTCAGGCATTGACTTTATACATAGGGAAAAAAAGATCTATCAGTTTTCCAAATAAAAGAGCTCTTCATTTATTTAAAAGAATCCAAAAGGCACTGCTGAAGTTACCTGACAAGATGAAAGATGAGGCGTTCCAGTGTATTAAGATGAGTTCGGGAGAGCTGATCAATCACAGAGTATACACCACGAATTGTCTCTTTCCTTTCCTGAAGACCTAAAAACAGTAAGAGCAGCATATAAGATTGAATATCCCCTCTTATATACAGAATATTCCTCCTGGATAGACATTAGGTAGCAGGGGAGACTGGCTCTAGAGTTTTAGGAGAGGTAGTTGTGCCTATGAGGCAGATTAACTCAGTTGCCACTTATCTCTCATTGCTTGAGTTCTATTTTCATTAGCAATCTCCTGAGTTTTAATCTATATTCCAGTAACCCTGATTACAACAAGGGGAAAGAGATGCCCTAGTTTTTCAGGCATCTGGTGGCTAACTGATCCCCCATTAAAATTAATCAACTGCCATATAATTTTTAAGTAAGTCTTATGGGCCTTTGAGAAGTCATGCCTCAGAGACTACATACTTCTAGGCCTTCATCCATAGTCTACATATCAGCACTGAAAAACTAAATTCCATAACCTGTTAAACCTGGCATAAAATAGACAGCCAGCTTTACACAGAGTTCTTGGCTAGATTCACAATTTAAATGATCATAAACCAACCCTTAAATATCCTGTTATAGTTTAAGAAGCAGCTAGGAAAATTCCATGGTGGGAGGAATAGGGAAACTGAGATAAGAAAATTAAACAAGGCCAAACAGTTTGGCAGCCTGTAGCCAGCTTATAAATAGCAAGCCCTTATCTTCCCCCAATCAAGGATGCATGAGAGCAAATGGTTGTTTCTCAAAGAATGCAGGAGAGGGGGAAGGGAAGAGGGAGAGGCATAGAGGAGGAAGAAGAGGGAAGGAAGAGTGCAGTCTCATCTCATCCCACTGTTTAAACAAAAAAGCCAACAGTCTCTGAATTTAATTGCCAGGTGCTTCTCATAAATTCTGAGAAAGCCATAACAAAGTAAAAGAGAGAGAGGCTTTCAGAGTTAACCTGTACTAGGATATCTAGCAGAGGAATTTTAAAATTTATAGACAGAAAAGTATATAAGGCAACCCATCCCCACACAACACTCACTCTTCAGATTAGCTGAGAGCCCATCCGTGCTTCATGCCAGATAGATTTGCTTGCCTTGTTTCTTTAATAAATTTGAATGCTTTACTTTCTTAATAAATGAACTTTAATGCAATGCAATTATCTGGAGTCACTTGTTTGAATTCATTCATACAAGACTAGAACCGAGGAGGGGACAGCCCTCTCCCTCCCACTCATGGGGCTGTCCCCTAACACCTCTCTGGTGTCTGTGAGAGGTGCCTATAACATATCCTATTTAATCTTTTAATTTGTTTGGAACCCTAGTCTTGCAATCTGTGACAAGCAACTAACTCGGAAAACTTTTAGGACACTGACATTTTAATGAGCCTCTAAAAAAGTCAACATTTACTGCCAGTTTATATTGACTACCAAAAGCATACTTTTGGATCTTCATGGTAAAACCACTACTAGAGGATGCCTAAATAATCTATAACAAAGGTGGCATTCCTTTCCCAAGTGTAGGCCTTCCCTCAAACTCAGGAAGCCTGTGCTTACCCATAGCTCGAAGAAATTCTTCATACAGTTCAAAGGTCATGAGTGGATTGGGCAAATCACGAAGCCATTGTTTGAATACACTTGCAATGACGTGTATGTTATAGTCATCTAGGTTTACACTCTCAGCATCTATTTATAGACAAGAGTTTATAGATAATAAAGACAAAACATGCAAAGAGATTCAAATAATTCATTTCAGAAACTATCATCACCAAAAGAAGGCTTCATGTTCTTAATCAGGCTAATTTATATCTTCTACAATCTAATCCCATACTTTGGAACAGTGCTTCTAATTGTAGTTAGTAAATGAGCAGTTTATGTTTGTTTTCCAAATCTGTTATAGACTGATTCATGTGTAAAATAAAAGATCAGTTTCAAAGCACTGTTAAATTGCTCTAACAGTTTCCAAATGCTTACTCTCAACTTCTGTACTTATCTTGCTATGTTTGTCTTGAACCACACTTTTAGTAACAATGCTTTAGATGGCAAATGGAAAAAAGTCCCAGAGGACATTTTCTAAAAGTAAGGCTGATTTTAAGTCATTCTTAGAGATGAAAGGAGAGTAATAATTGAACTTAGGAAATGTAAAGAAAATACCTTTACTCTGTTTCACTTATTAACTCCTTAAGGAGTTTCTACAGATGAGGTTTAAAGATGCGATAATCAAGATGATCGAGAGGATATAGGATGATTGATTTTTCACTTGTATTGACTCAATATCCAAGAGACAAGTTGGCAATTGCCTTTAAACTGCAGTAGGCAGAACCTCTTGTTTAAGTTTTACCAGACATTTTCTGTTATTATTTCCTTACCGATTCATTTCTCATTGATTTGTTCATTTTAAAAAAACCAACTACTGTGGGTAGGTTCTTGACTATGCAGAGAGAGGCTTTATACATAAGTGTGATTCAAAATGACCTATTCCCAATAGCAATAAAGAGTAGAAGTTGAGAATGAAACCAAAGTCAAACCCCTGGATACATTCCAGAGCTGTAGCTAAAGCTGTTCACAGCTACATGTTCAACCCACTAATTATCAGTTTAAATAACTATGTCATCAATGTAGGAAGGCAGGAAGATGCACTGCAAACTGTACTTGGAATCAGAAAAATAGAGATTAACAGGCAATAGTTTAGACTATGAATTCTAAAGATTTGGTGTTAAATTCCAGCTTGACTACTTAAGGGTGATGAGTCTTTGGGCAAGCCCCTCTTTAAACCTCTGTTTTTTAAATCTATAACAGGGATAATAATCCCTAATTCATAGGATTGTTGTGAAGATTATTACCGGTATATAACAGCATTAGCTCAGTGCCCTGCATCATCAACAGTTCATCTAATTACCCTGAACCTAAATTTTTCTTTGAAAATTACAGATATCATAATCTTACCAGACTGTTAAAAAGATTAAATGAGATTTGTCTGAAGTACCTAATAATGTCTTGTATAAATGACACACTCAATATATGTTTTCTGAATTGACCACATAAAAATCAAAGTCTCCTGGCCTGTGTGGCTTATTTGATTGAGTGATATCCCATGCACGGAAAGGTTGCCAATTAAATTCCTGGTCAGGGCACAAGCCCAGGTTTCAGGTTCAGTTCCTGGTCCAGGTGTGTACTGGGAGGCAACTAAGCAATGTTTCTCTCTCACATTGATCTCTCTCTCTCTAAAATCAAAAACTTTTTTTTTTTTTTTTGGTAAAAAAGTCTCTTTAGAAAGCCACAAAATGATTAAATAAGCATCACAGAAAAGATTACATTCTTCTGGCACAAAAAAATGATCAACAGGGCGCATGCAGGAGGTAATAAAAACTTTAAGGGCACAAAATGACTATTTTGTCATTTGGTCTTGATTTGGAGGGCACCATTCTTACCTGTGTCTAGACCTTGTCGAAGCTCCTTGATTTTATTAGTTGAACCAGACTTTCGGTAAATACCTTCTGTGTACAGTCCATGCATTTCAATGTAGTTTATGAGCTTTTCCACCACTAAAGGAACAGTTCGGTCTTCACTAGTCAAACGGGACAGTTCAACCCCAAATTGTCGAGATGATAGCTCTGGGTCATACTAAATGGAAGATAATTTTTGTTTCCCAAATACGTTCAAACATCTTTAAACATGTTTAACCAATTTTTTAAGAGGAACTACTTATTTCCCTTATGAGCCTAGTTATGAGAGTTAGGGGGAAAGGGGATCATGGTTAAAGCTGACAGTATAAATAAGTTTGATGTTAGTTTCCACCCTCTCCCACTAGGAATACCCCCCAAAAATAATGGGGTGAAGAATGAAGGTAACAGGCTGCTATTTCCCTTCCTGTTAAAAATCTCTTCATGTAAAGGTGAAGAGAGAGAGAGAGAAGGAACTTAAATGTATATTAACATTTAACAGGTACCATTAGAAAATCTACCAATTTTATCTGAATTAGAATTGTCGCCTGGCCAGCTCAGTTGGCCCTCAGACCAAAGGGTTGAGGGTTCAATTCTGGTCGGGGGAACATACTTCTGTTGCAGGCTTGATCCCGGGCTTCAGGGCGCATGCAGGAGGCAAGCAGTAGATGTTTCTCTCTCTGTCTCTCTTCCTCCCCCCACACCCCTCCCCCCACCGCCACTAAAATCAATGGAAAAAAAATATCCTTGGGTGAGGATTAAAAAAAATGCTTCAATGTTTATGTAATTTTAGAGAAGTTCAACTAAACACTGATGCCATAGTTAAAGGCAGAGGCACACACAGATTGGCCCATGTTTAGTGTTCTAGCTCTTTTTTATTTACTTCAATAGTGTATCTGACATCATATCTTACTAACTACAGTTTATGTGACTGCAAAAGAATAGTTTATCCTTAAGATTATTTCAATTCTCAGAAAAGAAAAATGTGAGGTATTATCTCTGAGCAAAAACCTTTTGTGTAAATTTCATTTTTGTCCTTTCCTTCTCCTGCACCATTCTTCTTCCCTAATCCAACACGGTGTACCTCTGTCCTCCTATCTGCATCCAATCAGTGTCAAGTTCTTTTAATCAAGCAATACACTCTATTTTTAATTTCCTGTTCTCAGTGCCATCACCCTAGTTCAAACCTGCATCACTGCATACTTGGACTATTCCAATAGCTTCTTAATGAATTTCCCCATATCTATTTTCACTTAATATACTGTAAAGTATATATAGTCTACTTTATTTTTATGTTAATCTTCACCTGAGGATATATTTTTTCCATAACTTTTTTAGAGAGAATGAAAGGGGGAGGGGGGAGGGGGGAGAGGAGGGAGGGAGGGAGGGAAGAAGAGAGAGAAAGAGAAACATCAATGTGAATGAGAGACACACCAATTGGTTGCCTCCTTCATGCACCCTGACTGGGGGCTGAGGATCAAACCTGCAACTCAGGTACATGTCCTTGACTAGAAATTAAACCTGAGACCCTTTGGTCCTAGGGCTGTGCTCTAACCACTGAGAAAACTGGTTGGGGCTATAGTCTACTTTATTATCCTCAAAAATCTTCAGGGCTAATTAGTATATATCGAATAAAAGGTGCAAACATTCCTCAGTCTAACATTTAAGATATTACTTGAATTGATCCTAATTTCTCTTTACAGTGTTATGTTAATGCCTTTGTCACTTATGTGTTAGATAATGGGGAAACAAAATCAAATAAGAGATAGTCCTTGCCGAAGCCGGTTTGGCTCAGTGGATAGAGCGTCGGCCTGCGGACTCAGGGGTCCCAGGTTCGATTCCGGTCAAGGGCATGTACCTGGGTTGCGGGCACATCCCCAGTGGGAGATGTGCAGGAGGCGGCTGGTCGATGTTTCTCTCTCATCGATGTTTCTAACTATCTCTCTCCCTTCCTCTCTGTGAAAAATCAATAAAATATATTTAAAAAAAAAAAAAAAAGAGATAGTCCTTATCCTAAGAATAATGCTAAGACTAGTAGTTTAAGTGTGTGGAGATAAATAGAACAGAAACAACAGATTTATTCAGTATTATGGAGCTACAGAAGTGAAACAGCTAGATCAGGAAGGATTGGGCTGGGTAACAAATAATGACCTTGAGAAGACCTGATGCTTAATCTGTTGGAAAGCAAATACTAGTACATGAGTAAAGAAAGCAAGAAAAGCACCCGTTAGACACAGAAAACAAAGAACTACAAAATTGGGCAAATTAACATTAATCTGATATGGCTGAACTAAAAATGAGAAAAAGCTAACATTAAAAAGGACTTTGAATACTAAGTTACAGAATTTGGGTCTTGTCCTGATAGCTAGGGGAAGCCACCAGAGAGTTTTAAGTAGGGGAAGATATAAGTTTTATATTTTTATTCATCATTCATCTACATATACTCTGCATTCCAGCAGCCTTAAATTATACAAGGTAATATCTCTGAAAAATATTTCTAGGTCTGAGGTGGAATAGAAAAGACATTTAATCTTGAACTATTTATAGGATACAAGTAAAAATTTTATATAATCACTATATATATTAGGTTATTTAGGTTATTTCATATTTGTAACAGGAATATCGTTTTTCTATTTCAGAGGGTTATTGTAAAGACTAAGTTACAGATAAACATATATAGCACAGTACCTGGTAAATGACAAATGCTCAATGAATTGTTAAATAAATAAAATAATGCTTGCTGCAGTGATTAAAACAAAATGAATATTGGCCAAATTTCTTACTATTATTATTATAATACACACATGCACTTATATAATTCATTTACTTAAATGATATGGCTATCGCTAGGGCATTGGTAATGTTAATGAAGACTCAAGAAATCAAGGAAAAATTAATTTGAATATTTTCAACTGAAAAATTTAACTGAGTTTTCTTTGTAAAAATGTTTTTATAATTTTTTCCTCCAAATTAACTTCCTTGAGAATTTTAAATAAAGTTTTATTGAAGTAGGACATACATACAAAAATGTGTACAGATCCTAAGTATATATAGACTTTGACAAAATAAATGCACACTTGTTATCAGGACCCAAATCAAGAAATAGAATATAACCAGCAATATAAAATTCCCCTCAAGGCACTCCCAGCAATTGTGTTTTACTGTTTACAAATAACCAGTATCTATACTTGTATCACTATAGTTTTATCTGCTTTTGAACATTATATAAATGGTAGAACATGCATATCATGAGTTAGTTTCATCAATTTTGAACTTTATGTTTCTGAGTACCAATAGTTTAATTTCATTGCTATATAGCATTCCATTATACAAATATACCACAGCTTATTTATTCATTCTATTGCTGATGGATATTCAGAGTTCTTTCAGTTTGGGGCTATTTCAAACAGTGATGATATAAATGTTCTTGTATTTGTCTTTGCGCACAAATATCTATGTATATCTGCTGAGTATATATATCTTAGAGTGGTACTGCTAAAAGTCATGAGAAAGCTTATGTTCAAGTTTGATAAATACTGTCAAATAATTTCAAGAATATGTCAACTTACACTCCTACCAGTAATGGATGAAAGTTCCAGTTGCTCTAATCCTTGCTAGGGTATTTTTAATTTTAGCCATTCTAGTGGGCATATACTATTATCTCACTATTGTTTCAATTTGCATTTCCCTTCTTCTTTGAATAATGAATGGGTTTTGAGTTCTAATACTTTTCCTGTACTTATAGAGATGATCACACTTTTATCTTTACTTGCTCAATGTAGTGAATTACATTGATTTCTGAATGATAAACCAACTTTGCATTCATAAAATAAAAACCAACTTTATCATGACTTACTTTTTCACTTTTTAATCATTAGTACAGAGTCAATGTGCCAATATTTTAAGACTTTTACATCTATGCTTATGATATATATTGATGTGCAATGTTCCTTTATTGTAATATCCTTTTCATGCTTGCCTTCAAGGTTTCACATAAGTCAATTTGGTTAAAAAAAAAAAGTCACAAAGTATTCACTCTTTTGCCATTTCCTGGCATAGTTTGTAAAAGATTAGTGTTGATTCTTCTTTAAATACTAACACATACTTATAGTAAAACCATCTGGATCTAGAGAGTTCTTTGTGGAAAGATTTTCAATTATAGATTCCACTATAATAAATATGACTCTATTTCCTATTTTTTTGTTACTTTAGTTTAGCTAAGTTGTGTTTTGTGGAAATGTGTCCAATTAATCTAGATTGTCAAATTTATTGGTATCAAGGTATTTGTAATAGTGTTTTATTTACTTTATAATGTATGCAATACCTGCAGTGACAAGGCACTTTGTTAAAAATTTTATCGTTTGCTAAGAGATTATTGTTTGAGGTTTTTTAAAGAGCTAAAATGTGTCTTTGTACATTTATATCTCTTGAACAAATGCTTTTGATTTAATTTATTTTTCTTTATTATCTTCCTTTTGCTGTCTTTGGGTTTAACTTCCTGGGCTTTTTTTTTTTTTCTAGAGATGGCAATTTAGATAATTTCTATCCTTGTATCTTTTGTAATATATGATTTAAAGTTACAACTATTCTTTATCTATAGCCACACTTTTGCTATGTCATAATTTCATTACCACTGAAATCAAAATATTTTTCTACTTTTATTGTAATTTAGAAGTATACTGCTTAATTTCCAAACATGAGAATTGTCTAGTTATCCTTATGTTTATGTATAGCTTAATTCAATTCTGCTCAAAGAATATACTCTCAATATTTTCTATCTTTTGAAATTTGTAGGAACTTGCTTTATAGCCCAACATGACTGATTTTGTCAAATGTTCCATGTGCACTTGAAAAGACTGTAGTCAGGCAATTATAGGATGTCAAGTTCAATACATGACAACTAGGTTAAGTTTTTTTTTTTTAATATATTTTATTGATTTTTTTACAGAGAAGAAGGGAGAGGGACAGAGTTAGAAATATCGATGAGAGAGAAACATCGACCAGCTGCCTTCTGCACGCCCCCCACTGGGGATGTGCCCACAACCAAGGTACATGCCCCTGACCGGAATCGAACCCAGGACCCTTGAGTCTGCAGGCCGACGCTCTATCCACTGAGCCAAACTGGCTAGGGCTAGGTTAAGTTTTTTAACCTTTGTTTTTCATATCATTTTCATCTTTACTGAATTTTTGTCTGCCAGGTATTAAAAGCTATATTAGACTGTTCTAAAGATAAAATTTTTCTGTCTCCCTGATAGGTTCACCATTTTCTCATTATTAAACATCTTTATTTGACATAATGTTTCTTGTCCTAAAGTACACTTTAATATTATACAGCTACACCACCTTTCTACTGGCTACTCTTTCTATCCTATATCTATCTATCCTTCGCTTTCAACTTTTCTCTATCTTTATATTTAAGTATGTCTGTTATAAACAGGATATCACTGAAGTCTTTCAGTTGGTTTTAACCTGATGTTGTAATTCAAAGTATTTGGTTTATTAACATTTTTTATTTTTAATATGCTGTTTATTTATTACTAGAGGCCTGGTGCACGAAATTCATGAACTCAGGGGGGGTCCCTCAGCCTGGCCTGTGCCCTCTCACAGTCTGGGAGCCCTGGGGGAGCGGGCCTAAGCTGTCAGTCGGACATCCTTAGCGCTGCTGTGGAGGCAGGAGAGGCTCCCACCACCGCTGCTACATTCACCAGCCACGAGCCTGGCTTCTGGCTGAGCAGTGCTCCCCCTGTGGGAGCGTACTGACCACCAAGGGGCAGCTTCTGTGTTGAACATCTGCCCCTGATGGTCAGTGCGCATCATAGTGACCGGTTGTTCTGCCGTTGGACCAAAACCAGCTCTCCAACATCCCTCGAGGGGTCCCAGATTGTGAGAAGGCACAAGGCAGGCCGAGGGACCCCATAAGTGCACGATCAGGGCCAGGGAGGGACATGGGAGGTTGGCCAGCCGGGGATGGACCACAGGAGGGCTCCTGGGCATATCTGGCCCATCTTGCTCAGCCCCAATCGGCTAGACCCCAGCAGCAAGCTAACCTACCAGTCGGAGCATTTGCCCCCTGGTGGTCAGTGCATGTCATAGCGAGCAGTTGAGCGGCCTTAGCATATCATTTGCATATTATGCTTTGATTGGTTGAACGGCCAACTGGACGACCGGACACTTAGCATATTAGGCTTTTATTATATAGGAGGATAGCTTTGGGCAAATTTTTCTTTGTTTTTAAAAAATTTTTCGATTACAGTTGATGTGCAATATTATATTAGTTTCAGGTGTATAACATAGTATTTAGCCATTTATATAACCTACAAAGTGATAACCCAGATAAGTCTAGTACCCACGTGACACCATACACAGTTATTGCAATATTAACTATATTCCCTATGTTGTATTTTACATGCCCATGACTATTTTTATAATTGGCAATTTGTACATCTTAATTTCATCTCCTTTATACCTATCCCCCAACCTCCTTCCCATCTGGCAACTATCAAAATGTTCTTTGTATCTGTGAATTTCTATTTTGCTTGTTAGTATATTTTTTAGATTCCACATATAAGTGAAATCATATGGGATTTGTCTTTCTCTAACTTATTTCACTTAGCATAATATCCTCTAGGTCCATCTATGTTATCACAAATTGTAAGATTAATTTGCTTTATATGGCTGAGTAATATTCCATTATATATATGCATCACCTCTTCTTTAGCCATTCATTTATCAGTGGAGACTTAGGTTGCTAAGTCTTGGGTCTCTAAATAATGGTGCAATAAATATAGGGTGCATATATCTTTTTGAATTAGTGTTTTGGATTTCTCCAGATAAGTACCGAGAAGTAGAATTGCTGGGTCATAAGGTAGTTCCATTTTTAAATTTTTGAGGAACCTCAATACTGTTTTCCATAGTGGCTACATCAATTTACAATCACACCAGAAGTGCATGAGGGTTCCCTTTTCTCCACATCCTTGCCAACAATTGCTGTTTGTTGATTTATTTATTTATTTTTATTAATCTTCACCCAAGGATATGTTTTGTTTCTAATCTTCACCAAGGATATGTTTAGAGAAAGGAAGGGAAAGGGAAGGAAGTGGGGGAGAAAGAAACATCGATGTGAGAGAGAAACACTGATTGGTTGCCTCCTGTGCGTACTCCGACCAGTGATCAAATCACAACCTAGATATGTTTCCCTCACTGGGAATCAAACCTAATGCCAGGGCTGCTTGTAGATTTATTGATGATTGCCATTCTGACAGGTGTGAGGTGATATCTTATGGTTTTCATTTTCAAATTCACTAATGGTCAGTGACATTCAGCATTTTTCATATATCTACTGGCCACCAATATGTTCTCTTAGAGCAAGCATGTCAAACTTGTGGCCCACGGGCTGCATGCGGCCCACAACAAATATTTTTGCGGCCCAGCCAATATAATGGTATGTAAGAAATGTTTAATAAAAATTTAGTAACTTAATTTTTAGAATATCCTGTTATACATAATCTATACTAATAAAAGGGTAATATGCTAATTAGACCAGACATCTTCCAGACAAAGCCATGGTGGCGGAGGCTGAGGCAGAGGCGGTTAGGAGCAATCAGGCCGGAAGGGAAGGGCAATTAGGGGTGATAGGCCAGCAGAGGAGGGCAGTTAGGGATGATCTCTGGCAGGGCTGGGCAGTTAGGGGCAATCAGGCCGGCAGGGGGGGCAGTTAGGGGGCCATCAGGCTGGCAGGCGGAGGTGGTTAGGAGCGATCAGGCCGGCAGGGCAGGAGTTAGGGGCAGGCAAGCGCTTAGGAGTCAGCAGTCCCGGATTGTGAGAGCGATGTCCAACTGTCGATTTAGGGTCAATCCCACAGGGATTGGGCCTAAACTGACAGTTGGACATCCCCTGAGGGGTCCTGGATTGGAGAGGGTGCAGGCTGGGCTGAGGGATCCGCCCCCCTCTCCCGTGCACGAATTTTATGCACCAGGCCTCTAGTTAATAACGAACTACTACGTTCATTAATGACTGATTATTATAATCATGTTGCATTCATTTTCCTTATGCGCCTTATGCACAGGCACACTAATACTAACAGCGAATATTTTAGCAGCTGATTGCCACGTCATTAGTCTTGTACTGACTTGTTTGGTGTGCACAACAGGAAATATTTCACTTTTGGAGAACAAGAAAAATAGGTTTATTTGTATTACCTATTAATTTGTGCAGTTATTCAGTGTCTGGTAAGTTAATGTTCAGGAAAAAATATTAATTTTTATTAAAATGTTCTATTATTTTATGTTAACAATTACTCATTTATTTCAGCCCTTTGTATTCAGCATATCTCTATCGAAATAAAGCTACATTTCTATGAAAATTGAAGCTTTTATTTTTTTGTGGCCCACATAAACTTAAACCTTCTTTATGTGGCCTGTGTTAGCCTTTGAGTTTGATATGCTTGTCTTAGAGAAATGTCTTTTCAAGTCCTCTGCCCATTTTTTAATTGAATTGGCTTTGTTTGTTGTTGTGTTCTTTTGGTGTGTGTGTGTTTTAAGTTGTATGAGTTCCTTATATATTTTGAATATTAACCCATTATCAGACATATCATTGGTGAATATATTCTCCTATTCAGAAGGTTGTCTTTTTGTTTTGTTGATGGTTTCCTTTGTTTTTTAGTTTGGTGTGGTCCCATTTGTCTTTCTTTTGTTTCCCGTGCTTGAAGAAATATATCAGAACAAATATTGCTAAGAGAAATGTCAGAGATTTTACTGCCTATGTTTTCTTCTAGGAATTTTATGGTTTTGAGTCTAACATTTAAGTCTTTAATCATTCAGAGCTTTTTCTTATAAGAAGGTGGTCTAGTTTCTTTCTGATAGACAAGAAAATTTCTATATTTTTACCTATTATTTGAACATTCTAATAAAAAATTTTTAAAGTACATGTCTGACAACTCAGTAATTGGATCATCTGTGAGTCTATTGATATTGTCTGTTTTTCTCTTAGTCTCATTTCTTAATGTCTGATATTGTATATAAACAAATTATAAAAGCTGTGGATGATGTTCTCTCTCTTTACAGAGGATTCACCCTATTCTCTCTGGTAAGTAGCCATGATTTGTCTACTAATTTGGAACCAATGAAAATTCTATCTAAAGGCTATAGACAGCATGCACACACATTTATATTATAGTTCAGATTTGCACAGTACTGTTACAATTGTCTGTATGTTACTAATAAGTAAGAAAATGTGATTATACATCAATAAAAGCCTGAAATCTTTCAAAAACAGTTGCTTCCTTGAAGCATGAGACACCAAAGTACATGTTCAGTATCTTTTAGACCTCTGTGTATCCACCAACTAAATGGTGCATTTTGATGTTCATGTTAAAATATTTAATTGTAAACTACCACTTTTAAGACAATTCCTAGGAAGACATATGAGTGTTTAATGAAGTAGAAAACCTTTAAAAGCAGTGTTTTAATATATTGTAGGGGAATCAGTTTAGTAGCTCCCATGTAGTAAAGGAAAATGTAGTTCCAGGAAAATCAATTCAGTTATATATAAATATACATATTTCTATATGTGTATGCTGGATCATGACATAAAATGTATATTTCTTACTATGATTTGCAGTCAAAGTTTAAAACCCACTGCTCTATAAAACTATGAAAGAGGCCTTGGTTTCTTTTCATGAGGCACAAAAAACCAACAGATCTGTTAATTATTACGCATAGGTAATAACTTCTTACCTTTTTAGAACACTTGGCTATGGTTTTCAGACAGCACTTCTTATGGCAAGCATATTTGCATACTGAAAAACAGGTTAAGAATGCAGAATTTTTAGAAGTCTGTACATCAATGACAAGAACTTAAAAAGTTTATGTTTATTTTGGATATAAATTTTTTTCTTTAGATCCCAGACTGCCATAATATTGAATATATGCTTTGTACAATATTAGAAAGAAAAAAAGTTTAACCCATCCTTTATAAATTCAATTTACTTATTTAACCCATTCTATTTGGAAATATAAAGTTGAAAAACATGCCTAAAGTTTCTAAACAATGTCTATACTTTTTATAATTTTGCCTACCATTCCTCCCCTCCCCTCCCATATTCCAGTACAATATTTATTTGTCTCTGTGGTTAGATTCACAAATTATTCATGTTCCCCTCATTTTACAATCTGCTAAAATGCCAGAAATAGCTACATTTGCAAACATTCCAATGGGTAAGAAAGGCATTACTGCCAAAGACCTTTACTGAAATAAAAAAAAAAAATTAATGCATAAGATATAAGAAAGGTCTTAAAAGTCCAGAATAGAGCTTTGAAGATCAAAACATAAAAATATCAGCTGTGTTTGGGAAGATAAGATAAAGAAAAGGTTCAGAGCAGAAATAACATCTTAGAGCACAAGAAAATAGGGTGTCTAGGCAGGTAGGAAGAGGCACATCAAGAGGAAGACACTAAGAACACAGCTGGCCTATGTCATTCTGCTATACAAGCACCAGCACATGCATATCATATCCTTGACCTCCAATAGTATAACTTGCGGTGTTTCAAGGCCAAGACCAAATAAGGACCTCATTCACCGGTGAAATCACCAGTATAGTCACAAAGAAAGTAATTCTACTAAGAAATCAAACCAAGCCCACCCAAGTCATAAAAAAGCAGATTCTTTACATTTTCAGTTTCAAATTAGAGATAAAATTATACCAAACCAAAAGGAATCAGACTAACATTAAATACGTCACTATAGCTTTTTAAACAAAACAAAAGAAAACAATTGTTAAAGCATAGAACATGTAAACATATCTAGCAATAGTGGTGATTTGGCTATGGAGAAGATGACTTTTATCCTTGTTGCCTTACTAGATCCAGCCCTTAGTAATTAAACCCTCAAAGAATTACTGACAGCACCAGAGTAGATCCATGAAATGACAGAAATGAAGAAAGGTCCTCTTATAAGCCAGAACCAAGTTGACCTACAAAAAGTCCCAATTTACAATCTAGGATTTATATATTCTGATGGAAAGATTACAGTAGAAAAAAAGTACCCTTTTAGGTTATAATCTAAGAATTCATTAGGTAATTAATCCATTCTATAGGTCCATCTACATTAAAATATTATTAAAACTTACAATATGCCAGAACTGTTTTAGGCACTGGTGATATAGAAGGGACAGATAAGTTTCCCAACCTTATAGGACATACATTCTAGTGGGACAAACAAACAAAAAAATAAATGAATACTTAATATAATCTTGAGTGGCGATAAGTACTATAAAAGATTTTTAAAGTTGAGTAATGGGACAGAGAATTAGGGGACCGGGTGGCATTTTAGGTACAGAATAAGGAAAGAGCTCTCAAAGAGGTAACATTTGAGTAGAGACATAAATTAACTGAAATAGTAAAGTCCAACTAACATCTAGAAGAAGAGCATTTCAGATAGAGTAAGCTGCAAGTAGAGTGACCAAAGAACATCAAAATACCTGGTTTGGCTACTGAGAGTAGAGAGAGATGAGGTTAGAGAATTAGAAATAGTGACATAAGAAAACTAAGGGAACTCTGCCTGTGTGGCTCAGTTGGTTGGAGCACTGTCCCATACACCAAAAGGTGGTGGGTTCAATTGCCTGTCAGGGCAATGTATTTCTCTCACATTGATGCTTCTTTCTCTTTTTCTCTCTCTAAAATAAATTAGTTTGTTGTTTTTTTTTTAAATAGAATAGGTCTTTAAAAAAAAAAAGAAGAAGTAAGGGAAATAGAAATGTCAAGCAGTTAAAAAATTCCTCAAAGATCTCTTATACTTACATTTGCAAACAGAGGCTCGGTCCATTATCCATATCAAAGAAGAACAGTACTCACAGTACGTAGGAATGCTATATTGAGTGGCCTTGAAGATGTGACCATTGTGCTCTTCCACCTGAATGAAAGAATACAGCTTCTTATGTAAAAGCCAACAGTAAATGTTGCCCTAACATGGTCAGCCATTAGGAAATCCTTCAATCCCTTATTAAGTCCTTTTGAGCACTTATTCCACAAGGAAAATTATGATCTTATAAGAAATAAAATAAAAACAAAATATGTGTTCCCTGCTTTCAAAAAGCTAACAATTTAGTAGAGAAACAAGACTAACTTATATGAAAATCAAAAAGCAATTCTATAAACACATAAGAGCTACCTTATGTGAATCTAATCAGCATGTTAAATTAAAAGCAGTTCTAGAATTTTTAACCTCAAAAACCTTTTACACTTTTGAAAATTATTGACGACCTCAAACATAAGTTATACCTACTGATATTTACTATCGTATCAGTATTAAATAATTTTAAGTATTTATCCAATTCATTTAAAATTAACACTAAACATATTATACGTTAACATAAATAACATTTTCATGAAAAACAACTATATCTTTAAAATTAAAAAAAGTAATGACAAAAAGGGTATTGTTTTAACTTTTTGTAGATCTCTTAATATGTGGCTTAATAAAAGACACTTGCATCTCATATCCCCATCTTCATTCAACCTGTTGGCAGGTACAGTTTAGTTTGAAAGATACGAAGAAAATCCAGGTTCACACAGATATAAAATTGATAAAAATAAAAGAATACTTTAATTGTCCTTTTAGATACTACATCAAACCTCTACAAATGATACCTTAAAGGTTAATTAAAATATGGAAACTAAAACCATACCAATGAACACTTCATGCTCTGTGACATTAAAATCATTTTCCTGGGCTTCATTAAAATTTACAACTTTTACTCAAAGTACCATTAAGAAAATAAAAAGATAAGCCACAGACTTGAGAAGATATTTGCAAATCATACTAGTATAGCTGATAAAGAACTTCTATCTAGAATATATGAAAAAATGGTTACAACTCAAAAATAAGAAGATAATTTTAAAATGGGCAAAACATTGAATAGACAGTTTATTTAAAAAGTACAAATGGCCAACAGGCACATGAAAATACGTTCAAAATCATCAGTAATCAGGAAAATGCAAATTAAAACCATGATGAGATACTGTTTCACACTCACTGGAATGGCTACAATTTAAAAAGATAATAATGACTTCTGGTGAGAATGTGGAGAGACTGGAACCTTCAGATACTGCAGTTGGGACTGTAAAATGGTACAGTCATTTGGAAAACAGTTTAGCGTTTTTTGAAAATATTCAACATAGAGTTATCGTATGACCCAGAAATTCTATTCTTAGGTTTACATCCAAGAGAACTGAAAACATATGTTCTCACAAAAAATATTCATAAACACGAATATTCATGTAGTGGCATTTTTATATACCCCAAACGTGGAAATAACTTAAATACCCATCAAATGATAAAAGGATAAATAAGTGTGTAATATCCACACAATGGGATAGTAGTATTTCTGCACCAAAACCCACCAAACTACTGATAACATAACTTGAATGAACCGCAAAAACATTATGCAAAAGGCCACACACTGTATGATTCCATTACTATGAAATGTCCAGAAAATGCTAAAATATAAATATAAAAACAAAAAGTAGATTAGTAATTGCCTGTAACTGGGAATTATAAAGGGCAATGCCTGCAAATTGGCATAAAAAATCCTCTTAGGGTAATGTAAATGCTCTGAAATTGGATTGAGGTAATGGTTATAACTATAAATTTATTGAAAATCACTGAACTGTATTCTTAGAAGAGATAAATTACATTGTAATTAAATTTACCTCAATAAAGCTCTTTTAAGAAACATTTTTGTCTATCCTACACTTTAAATGGACATGATTTTATAGTATTATACATTAATGATTCAGAAAATACTGGTTCACAGAGTTGTGTGGCATTTCCAAATGTTGACACATTTTATTACACACTATCAGAAAGTCATGTTCCTTCATATTATCAACAATCTCATCAGAAGTTCTCTACTGGAAAGTTGTCATGCTCACAGTGGGAAATAAAAGTTTTCCACAATTCTAATATTTGCTTGAAATCTCAAACTTTACCACTTATAATATAGTCAGGTGTTTTCTTTGAAGTGAGAGGGTCACTTTGTTCATTTGCAGAAAATGTCTGCCAAATACGTAAGTCTAAGTAAGTATAGCTTATTAATAAAGTAAAAGTGATTTCTATTAAAAAAGTGGATAGAGACACATAATGATATAAAAAGTTGATATTCCTAGTATCATTACTCTAGCTAAAAAGTAGGAAAACCCAAAAGTCCATAAACTGATGAATGGATAAAGTGTAGTATAATCCACACAATAAAATACAATTTGGCTATAAAAAGGAAAAAAGTACCATACATGCTACAATATGCATGAATCTTGGAAACAATATTCTAAGTGAAAGAAGATGAACCTAAAAGACCAATACTGTATGATTTTTGTTCAATCTGAAATGTCCACAACAGGCAAAGCCACAGAGACAGACAGTAGATTAGTGGTTGACAGGGCTGGGGGAAGACAGAAAGAATGACTTCTCAGTGGTGATAGTTACCCAACGTAGTGAATACAGTCATGTGCTGCTTAAGATGGGGATACATTCTGAGAAATGCGTCATTAGGTTATTTTGTCACTGTGCATCATAGAATTCACTTATGAAAACCTAAATGGAATAGCCTACTACATGCACAGGCTATATGGTATAGTCTATTGCTCCTAGGCTATGAATCTATACAACATGTTACTGTATTGAATACTGTAAGCAACTGTAACACAATGTTAAATATTTATGTATGTAAACATATATAAACATAGAAAAGGTATAGTAATAATCCTATATAATAAAAGGCTAATATGCAAATCAACCGAAAGGCAAAACGACTGGTCACTATGATGCGCACTGACCACCAGGGGTCAGACGCTCAACGCAGGAGCCCTGATCTGGTGAGTGCAGCAGCTGTGGTGGTGGGAGCCTCTCCCACCTCAATAGCAGTGCTAAAGATGTCCAACTGCCATCAGTCGGACATTCACCTAGGGCTCCTGGACTGCAAGAGGGTGCAGGCCGGGCTGAGGGCCTCCCTCCCCTACCGAGTGCATGAATGTCGTGCACCGGGTCTCTAGTATAGTATAAAAGATAAGAAATGGTACACATGTATAGGACATTTACCATGAATGGAGTTTGCTGGACTAGATGTTGCTCTGGGTGAATCAGTAAGTGAATAGTGAGTGAATGTGAAGGCCTAGGATATTACTGTACACCACTCTAAACTATAAACACTGTACACTTAAGCTACACCAAATTTATAAAAGAACCCCAGATTAAATGAAGCATAAGAGAAAATGATGCAATCTAGAGACACAGTAAACACAAGATGTATGAGGCACATCATACTGTTTTAGAGCCAAGTGTTTTGAATAAGTTTTTTGAATAAATATACTCTAAAAATAACAATAAAGAATATAGTACAATAAATAAACCAGTAACAGTCATTTATTATCACTATCAATTATTATGTACTGTACACAATTGTATGTGCTATACTTTTACTGGCAGCACAGATTTGTTTACACCATTACCACCACAGACATATGAGTAAAGGGTTGTGCTCTGACATTATGAAATTTTTAACCTCACTAGGCAATCAAACTTTTTCAGCTTCATTATAATATTACTAGAGGCCCAGTACACAAAATTCATGCGGGGGGGGGGCACTCTCTCTAATCCGGAACCCCCCTCGGGGGATGTCCGACTGCCAGTTTAGGCCTGATCCTGAGGATTGGGCGTAAACCGGCAGTTGGATATCCCTCTCATAATCCAGGACCACTGGTTCCTAACCACTCAGCTGCCTGCCTGCTTAATGCCCCTAACTGCTCCCCTGCCTGCCTGATTGCCCCTAACTGCCTCTGCCTGCCTGCCTGGTCGCCCCTAACGGCCCTCCCCTGCTGGCCTGGTCGCCCCCAACATGCACATGGCTGGGGTCCATCAGCCCGGCCTGTGCCCTCTCGCAGTCTGGGAGCCCTCGGGGGATGCGACCCTAAGCCAGCAGTCAGATATCCTTAGCTCTGCTACAGAGGCAGGAGAGGCTCCCGCCACTGCTGCTGCACTTGCCAGCTTTGAGCCCAGCTCAGGGCTTCTGGCTGAGCAGCACTCCCCCTGTGGGAGCGCACTGACCATCAGGGGGCAGCTCCTGTATTGAGAGTCTGCCCCCTGGTGATCAGTGTGCATCATAGTGACTGGTTGTTCCACTGTTTGGTCGATGTGCATATTAGCCTTTTATTATATAGGATGGGAGGGACTGACAGAGGTCAGAGGGGAGGGGGATGGACATAGATAAAAGTGTGGTGATAGCCAGAGGTGGGGGTCTGGGTGGAGGAGGATAAAGGGGGGAAATGGGAGACATCTATAATAGTGTCAACAATAGAATAAAAACAATGATATACCACTACACTACACACCTATTAGGGAAAAAAAAAAGATACATTATGAACTATGTATTTACTACTCTGATAAAATTAAAAAATTTAAAAAGAAAGAATTTTGTCCAGAAAGGAGTGTTGCTGAAATGTTTTTTTTATTTTTATGGTAAAGCTAAGGAAGCTTCAGAGCCCCTGTGAGAGTTGGATTTGTTTTGGGGGAGAGAGCAAGCAAGTTGCAACCAGCAGCATTTTGGATAACCTGCCTGAAATGATTTAAAATAGAAAGGGACAGATTCCCCAAGCCTACAGTTATTTGTAATTTATTTTCTTATTCTAAATAAAGTCATTTTTGAACCTTATTAAAAAATTCCCCCCTCCCAAAAATAGTCCTTCAGGTTCAGTAAACTTTAGGCCTCACAAAACCTGTGTTAGTCCCTGAGGGTTGGGGTCCCCAAAGGAGTTCTGATTCATTCATTATATTTATTTGCTCCTTTTAATTCTTGTTCTAGTGCAGCGGTTCTCAACCTGTGGGCTGCGACCCCTTTGGTGGTCGAACAACCCTTTCAC